ATCACACTTCATCATTAATTGTTCAAACTCCATAGTATATTCTTCCACAGTCAAAGATTTTTGCTGCAAGTTATGAAATTTAACAAAATTATCTTGGTAGTAACGGTCAGGTAAGAACTTACGAGTGAGTTCCCAACGCATTTTCTCCCAAGTTCTAATTTTGCTGCGGCCTTCTCTTTCTCGACTGCGTTTGAGATTCTCCCACCAAATGGATGCATGTTTCTTTAATTTGATGGCGACGAGTTTCACACGCTTGTCGTCAGGAATATCCTTGAGTTCAAACACACGTTCCACAGTGTGCAACTAGTCGATAAATTCATCGGGTTGAAGGCGACCTTCAAAATCTGGAATATCAATTTTGATGCCAAGGTCAGTGGATTTGGGAGCAACATTTTGTTGGGGACGTTGTCGACGACGAACTTTTCCTGTTGATGATGAGCTTTCATTATCCCTTAGGTGATGGAAGGGATTCTCGTCGTCAGTATCTTCTTCTGACTCATGTGGTTCATCTTGCGAGTGTTAAGCTTGTTGTCCCTCAAAAGCTTCAAGTCTTTCTTGAAGCCTTTGAATTTGTTGACGTAGTTCTTCCATCTCTATATCCCGAACAGCTCATTGACGAGGAGGATTTTGTCTTCTAGGAGGCATGATAAGTTTAGGTTGGTAAGGGGCTTTTTGGAAAGTTAGTATTTGAAAGTGGGGGAAATTTGAACTTTATAAAATTATGGGGTCAATCTGTAAGGTCAAAATACGTTGAGGGACTTGATGACGTGGCAAAAGAGTGCGGTTGCAGTGATGACGTGTCACTGACGTGGCTGATGACGTGTCAAGTGACGTGGCACAGATGACGTGTCAATAGATGATGTGGCAGTGACTGGATGATGACGGTCGATGACGTGGCTAATGAAGTGGCGAATGAGAGGTTGAAGATGACCGGCGCGTGATTTTCACGCGATTTGCAGTGGTGCGAGTGGCTGGCGCGTGAGACAACGACGGTGGCGCGTGGAGGCGCGTGAGACCTTGTTTGTTGACCGGATTTTCACCAAAACGTTCAGAATGACGTGCAGACTCCAAATATATTGGCCCTGATATCAAATGGCGTAGAAGCCGATACCGAAACACCGATTTTGGCGAGATTTAAAATCCCACTACGATGAATTCGATTGCCAAGTTCACCACTTAGGTTGGCAAGACCTAAGATACAGAGATAAATTGAGAGAATCCACTCCCAAGAAACTCACTCAACAGAGGAGAAGTATAAACTGAAATTTTGGATTAAAACTTGATACGTACAATGGTGATAAC